CACTGATTATTCTACTTACTTAATCCTAACGATTAGTTACTTAAAAGAATATACTAACGATTAGTCTAAACAAAAACAGGAGACGAAAATACAATATGGTAAACAAGACAAATATTCTCATAACTTACACCACTAAACCAATCCAACCAGTCTTTCTAAATAAAGATGACTTTTTCTAGACTCGCGTGAACTGAAAATTGAATAGTTATATATAGAGTTATAATCACGTTTATAATTCAAAAGCAAATTAAAATAAACAAGACAACATAAAAACTAACTAGAAAGATGAAAAGAAGATAATGTAGAAACATAATAGAACATTGCAGATAATATAATTGTAGTGGGAGATATTACGAGTAAATGTCTTTAGAAGATGCTGCAGGAAGTAAAGTATGAAAGTGTTGCCTGTCTGTCTAGGTTTTTTTTTCAAGACATAGGGAGGAAACAAGCAGACGAGTCAATGCAATTCAAGAGTCACAAGTGAGATAGTCCCCTTTATACCCAGAATCAGAGGGAAGGTTTGGGTCCGGTAAGCTTACTCAGTGAATTGCAACGAAAGAATTCCTCTCCCACGGTAATATCCCATTAGGCTTTGTAAACTTTGTAAAGTTCTTGATAAAAAATAAACAATTATATCTTAAAATTAACTTAGCTAGTAGGTATCAATTATGTAACGAGATTTAGTTTGTTCGTCAAAACAATACGATACGATGCTTAGATACTACTAATGAGCTAGTATGATGCGTACCGCGACTTCTAATAGCGTTCAGTTGTATGTACCTACTTATATTGACTGTTTATCTTCACATAAGTAGTAGATATGTCTTTTATCTACCAACTACCTTTTTTTAGATTTAGTTTTAATGCATGTAAGATTCACATCTAGTAGATGTCAATCGGAAGAATATTGTAACATTTTATCATAATGTATATATGTGCGTGAGATTGTACATCAGTTTTGTGAATTACAATAAAAAAAAAATAGTATAAAATTAAGTCTTATATAAAATAGTATAAAATAAGTTCTTGTACACGCTTAGAACTTTTAAACAACGCAGCGGATTTTCACGTGGTTTTCATATATAAGTAATACTTGCATATTACAGTGGAGAAAATCCAAGAATTTTAAATATTTGTAAAAAACATGGTATTGTGCGCTTACAGTGCAAATGCTGGCTTAACCTTACGAGAAAGATAAAAAATGTACTACGAAATAGTCTATCTTAAAAAGATCTACAAAAAATCCCTAATGGTATATATATCTCTTAAGGATAAACCACAGTAACCATTTTTATCTGTTATATCTTTTACAAAAAGTAAAGCGTAATTTACGAAGCTATTTGTAACAACAGTATTATTCCTTATCTTAATAAATACGTTATATTCGTTGGGCATTTAATGTAGATTAACATTGCCTTTTACAGCATATTAATTAAATGAATATCTCAGTGGATATCATAGATTTAAAATGCGGGGGCAAAGCTAGCGGTTGCCGCGTCGAGCCGTACTATCGTCCCGGGTGGAGCAGAGCGGGCCTATAAATATTGCAAATAAAGATGCCCTGTAGTATAGTCTTATCATAAGAATAGTATAATTACCCCACACTGGCATCACATTGGTAGTATCTTCATTGCACCTGTGCGAAGCCGAGTCAGATCGCTAGTTATATAATAAAATAAACTTAATACAATGTCATTTAAACTTGATCTCTCCAATCTGTATCAGGGCAATCCGGTCATTTGTATTGCATGGAATAAGCACGAATATTAATCAGGCTTGTGGAAAAACCGCATGTTAGGTGAGTTAGTTTGATGAAGACAGTGGTGTATAATTTACTTTTACTAAAATACTTTTTTTATTGAGTATCTTAGTACTTAACTAATACTACAACTTGACACATCTGACATGACACGGTCGTAGACTGACCCTGTTCTATGGCAACCAGACCACTGATAATCATACTTAAATATTTCTAAATACATACAAATTAAAGATAAACTACCCCCAGACAAATGATGGCCCTGGAATTTGTCCTAGGTGTTAATTTAACCCACGACCTCTAGCTCAGCAGTAAGGCTCTTTTGTCACTGGACCAACAAACCAGTGAATGATTTTATTCAATATTTTGCTTCCTTCTCTTTTTGTCAGTCTTCAATTATGGATTGTGACCACTAGTCTGGGTCTATGGAAAGTCCGCTATCTGTTTCTATCCTGGATTGTGCGTAGAGTAGTGTAAACCGTGATGTCAAGGTTAAAGCCGACATGACAGGACCAGCGTAACGGACTTCAGCTTTTGGGTCTTCTCCCTTTGATCTTTCTGTCCATGGCATATCCACGGTATATATTATCTACTTGTAAATAGGTTTATCTCACCCAGTTCTGGTGAATCCAGACTTTCTCTTCCACTCTTGTTATGTAGACAATTTAAATAGAAGCGAATGTAAAACTTTCGTGAATGGTATACATATGTATTTGAAAAGGATGCACGATTTAATCCACGTGTGTGTTTCATATTCGACTAGTTTTCAAGGCCCCCGTCGGGTACGAAGTTTTTTTGATGCGTTAGGCAGAACTAAACTGGATCGTACCTAGCAATATGTTCAAATGAATATATTCCGACTAGGTTTGTTATGTGTACCTACATATTTAGGTCAATATATAGGTACGTATGGTTCGTGCGTGTAGCGAGTAGATGCTTTAACAGCATGCACTAGCACTAGGTAATTTGAAGCAAATAAGCCATTTAACTCTTGTTGAACAATTGACATTCACATTATTGCAGTGTACTATTAATAGTCAACTGATATTGTTTTAGAAACAGATGCTCGGTTAAAGAAGGATTGTACTACTACGGCTCACTTAACATTCATTTAATGTACAAACATTCGCATCATAAACATTCAATAAAATATAAGGTATTTTTTATGTAGGGTCAATAATCTTCGAAATAAGAATAATATTCCTTCTTTCGAAACTATAAAAGAATAATATTTCTTCTTTCGAAACTCGTTTCGATAAAAAAGAAATGTTTCTTCTTTCAAAACTCGTAAAAAAAATCTCTTTTGATGGATAAGAAATAATTTACTGTCCACTTCCACACGATGAAGACGATATTAAATAAAAGGCATGTGCATGTATGTATTATTCTTGTGCGATCGCTAGTCTAATATGTCGTTTCCAGGACCGAAGTGTCTATGGTCGGTGGGCATTCTCCTTTTGTTTACGCGCCTACAAGGTTTATCAATGGTACAAAAGGGATGAGATAAATCGATTAGCTTAAATCTATGATTTGATTATTTTGTTACAATAATCTATAACTAACTGTTATGGTTTTTCTTTACCGTTGGCTTAAATCTTAAATTTATATGAAGATAAAATGATATTCTGTAATAGTTTGATAATTTAATTTATCTGAATTTTAAACACTTAAACCACAAATACTTAGTCTTACAAAATACGTAAGTCCCATGTGCCATCTATGCCAATCGCATCAGCTACCCTTCCAGCATAACACGAGTTTTAGTAAGTCACATTAGTGCAGATAAAATATATCGATGAGTCTTCAACGGACGAAATAAAATTTTCCATGCTAAATAAAAAACAAAAATCGATATTGATGATTTTACGATGGCTGTAATTCGAAATTACATATACATACAATACTCGTACTCTGCTCGAAAAGAGTTCCATCTTTAAATTAGTTAGTGGTGTCCCTATCAGATGTAGATATAACAGAAGTATAGCTGTGATACTTTGCTACGAAAATACCTATTATGACATTTGTGAGATCGAGAGTAGCTCGGAAATGAAATTTGATTGTTCAATTTTTTTTCGAGAATCAATCCTCAGGAAAGCTGGGACTAAAAAGTACAGTTCGATTTAGTTTGTGTTCATCAACATCACATCAACAGCCAGTCCACTGCTGGACATAGGCCTCTCCATAGAAAGGATTTTTTGACCTACTATACCACGCTGGCCAGTCGAGTTGGCATAGGGTTTGTTTCAAGTTTCCCTTCTCTTTGCAGTGCTGTTGTCCTGCGTAGTTTGCTCCCTTAGTCGCCTCTTACGACACTCTCGGGATGAATAGATAGGTGGTGACATTCCGTTTTTTTTTCTTTTTTATGGTATAAGGGGCAAATGAGCAGAGGGGTCACCTGATGGTAAGCAACTACCGCCGCCCATGAATACGTGCAACTCAAAAGTCACAAATGCGTTGCTGCCCTTGGAGTCCCTCCCACTCGAGTCAGCAGGGAGGGATTAGGGCTCCGGTAACCTCACTCACTGAGTGAAAGGCAACGAAAGAATTGCTTCGTATTCTCAACCTGTCACCACACGGATTTGTGTTCAAGAACTTATAATTAATCCGCAGGATTATTCCAGCAACGACGACTGATGAAGATGATTTGGATAAATCTTAAAATACTTATTTGCCATTTTATTATAAACCTATAAACATTACAAAATGTCACCAATCGATTACAGTCACAGTGATCGATTTTGCTTGTCATGTCATATCACTTGTCACTGCATTGTGACATCTGTCAGTTTCAAGCAAAATTTTACCGAGTTATAATACACTCGCATCTAGTTTAACTGAAAAAAAAAAGAACAGGGAAGTTAGTAATGTTATATTAGGTACCCGTGTTTTTAGGTGTTCGTAAAAAACTATGATTAAATATTATTACGGTGCTATAAAAAGATGTCAAGATCTGCATGTAGTAGAACACACGACTTGGCAACGCTGACGTGAGAGTTGCCAAACCTGAATCTAACGTGTAGCACTATAAATCCTATTCATCAATTAGTTAGTCATAGATGAAATAATGACCATACTTACATATTTTTTTCTATTGTTACAGGTTCCAACGCCGAGAGTGCAACGAAATAGCGATCTAGTCATAATAAATCATAAAAGTATTTGATACAAAAAAAAAACATGAAATAATAATATAAGTTTTTGTTACAATATTTGGTAATAGTTTTGTTAGATAAGTGTAAAAATGCAGATTTTAAATGCACGTTACGCTTTGAGAGCGAGCGCTTCGCAGTTTCAAGCTTGGAGTCATACGAAGACGCGATCGGCGACTACGGTGAGTTCTCTTTCAACATTCACATATGGCTAATTTCAGCAATTATCACGTGCGTTGTGGTCATTAATCCGTTTGTGATAGTCGAGTGGCAGAAATGTTTACCTAATTAATATAAATATAACATAACTAGCTGTACTCTGCCACGGTTCGCTGTGTCACATTGTGGTTTTTTGTCACACCTCATTTAACATAAATGCATATGGGAAATGAGCAACAAAACTGAGCGAAAATCTTTGCAGCTGTTTGTAAATCGTGTCAAAATTTCAGCTCAATCGGAGCAGAAAGTTTAAAACTATCTTTACGTTTCATATAGATCTTCCTAAACCCACAGAACAAGAGAATAAACACTTATTTATTTCTTTGATCTATCACTAAACCGTAAGAAACAAAAACGCTTCTCAGTCGCTCTCCTTGCAACCTTGGATCATTTCATAGGAATATCAATTAAATACTTAATGACGATTTATTAATCATGCTTGTAATAGGAAGTAGAAAATCTATATTTTCCAATACGTCTCGTCTCGTTGCTTATTAATTCTCGATTTTCTACGATAACTAATTGCGGAAGTTGCTAAAAAATCTTAGTTTAAGTAAATACCCATTATTCAACTGCATTGGTATGTGATTTAGTTATGCTATAGGCAACCAATTTGCGATTTATTAATGTACCTGTTACACAACGGAGTGTAGTATTTTCACAGAACAACTTCCTCAAACACGCTTCCGAAGGTTTGGATAGGTGGGCGAGTTAGGGCTTTCAAATAATCTTTTATTTATATTTTATAGTATAGTACTATTATTACGTAACTTTAAGTAAACGCGTAAGTTCTATAGATTTCACAACCACACACAATGATATTTGTATATAATAAACACACATGTAAAGACGTAAGCCTTATATCGCAAACCATCTATCATTTTACCTTGACATAGTAATACAAATCCTTATCTAATACTCAATTTGTTTTTAAAAAGTAACAGATACCGGTTCTCGGTATTAATTAGTAAGGGGAGTGTTTTCTGTATTATTGTTTACTTTCTAGTCGATACTAATACATAATACAAGCCTTAAAGAGAGAACGTTCTAAATAGTGTTAGAATGTTTAGTAAAAGGCAAGTTTTATTAAATCATGTATTAACTCTTATTAGTTGCAATTTTTTGTAAAATGTATTATCGTCGTTCGTATACTTGATCGAGTTGGTAGTTCTGAAAGATTTGCGAGACTAATTCAGCCCAAGCAGAATTTTGTAACCTTGTATGTAAAAGTTACATATGTCGTGAATATCCAATAATAACAATATCATGCCCAATGAGGAAAGTATAACTACCACGTCGAGAGCAGTTTTGACTTACTATAGACGCAAATGAGAGCCGGGAGAAAGGCTTCCAAAATTATCCGATACGGCGTCAACATGAGGCGCGTTTATGAATGCCTCAGTATGAAGGTTGATAAAAGTATGTCGTCCACTCGCAGTAGAGCCTCCGGCGAAGGAGGCTTGCTACATTCGGGTTATGGCTGGCTGGTGACTCTTGATAATATACTTACCGCAGCACCAACAACTCCTCCCATTTTAGACGCAGTATGATACACCGTGTCTCTCAGGTCAACATACGGCCTTATCTATAGCCCTCCAGAAGGATCCCTAAATACAGGATAAAATTGTGATGCGACTCAATCTTGAGTCTTGTTTAGTCCTTCCAGCATACAATGGATAATCATAATTCATCATTGTTTTGGTCAATAAACAATTTTATCTTGTCTACAAATTCCACGGCTTATTGCAATAAAGATTAACGATAATGATTATGTGTTCAGCTTAAGATAGCTTGAATGCTTGAAGAAAATTACGAATGGATTCCCGCCAACTAACACATTTGTGTAAATACCACGTTGTCACAGTAAAGTACTTTTATAACTAGAACTTTGAATTAGAGAGAGCAATGAGGTTCAGCTACGGAACACCCCGCGGCCGCAAGGCAGCTTTTACGTCTAACGAAACGCTCAGTTTTAAAACTTCCCTTTAACTTGGTCCGTATATATATACAAATAATTAAAATTGAAGTGTATTTTTGCACCTTATGTTAAAATAATAGGTTTACTTCATGCTCACACGGTTATTTGCACGATACCTATGCCTAAAAATCACTCCGAAATGTCTATGCACCTGGTAGCTGCATAGACATTTCGGAGTAAACTAAAAGTAAAGGAGTAACTTGGCACCAGCAGGCCACCACAGGCAGGCACCAGCTAGTAATTAGCGAAAATATTTGCGTAACTTCTCGAAAACCACAACCAAGTTGACGCTAAACGACAAAAGACTGCTAAATTTGTGAGAGAAACATGCTGAGACACTAATGCCAATAGGCCGGCTCGACCGGAGTGAGACCACGGCCTCACAGAAAACCGCATTCAAGCAATATTGCCGTTGCTCTTCACCGAGTGATTGAGGTTACCGTAGCCAAACCAAGACACTAACAGTGAGTGACCAGTGACAAGTGTAAGGGTTATCTTTTGACGCAAAAAAGAGACGATCACTTGATCGTTTTTTTTATTAGTTATGACGAAAGTTATGAACAGCTGTAGACAGGAACTTTCCTGTCTACAGCTGTTCATAACTTTTTTTATTTTCTACTAGCTGATACCCGTGACTTCGTTGGAAGGAATTTGAAAAGCGCTGCCTTAGTGGGTTCGATTCCCGGACCGGGCAAAATTTTAAAGGGTTTTTCTGAGACGAAAAATAGTATAAGTTACTCGTAGTAAAATATTATTAAAATCGATCCAGCCGTTTTAAAAATTACCCGTAACAAACAGACAAAGACAGACAAAAATATTTAAACTGGTTTTTAGGCGTAGGTATCGTGCAAATAACCCTGTGAGCATAAAAAACACCTATTATTTTGACATTACAAACAGACACTTCAATTTTATTTATTTGTATGCAAAAAAATATAGATGTATCGATGAAAGTATTCCCTTTTGAATATTATTAACATATTTAATTATTTCTTTACAACATTAAACTATTATTGATACATCATATACCTATTTATATTGTGCCATAAAATATTAAATTATTACTCATTTACGCTATTACGGTATTGTTATAGATAGAATGCATTGACATTTAAATGTAATAAAATCAATAAATATTTATGTGTATTTGTGTAACATTTTACGATCTATACACAACATGTACTTCACCCATTTGTGTTTTTTTATTATTTGGGGGCATGGCAGTGCCAAGTCGAGCATAAAGAACAAACCCATTGACGTAACATTATTTCCTTGAAGTTATTCCTGTCGTCTTCGAGCCCCTATTACTTTGTTGTAGATAAGGTAAATTTTGAGAGACCGAGAGGGCTTAATATAACGTATATTTCATTAAAAACTTAAACAAAATGCATTTTAAGTTAGAAACCACATTGTTTTATCCAAACTGCAAGCAAACTTTTAAATCCTGTGTAAAAACTATGGGAATACAAAGTTACTACTCGTAGTACAATTACAAATATACATAATACCTAAATATATAGATAGATATTTTAATAAAGGCAGGTACAGTATCATGCGCTAACGACAGTACTTAGTACGTACCTAGTCAACTACAAAAATAAATGAAATCAGATTAAAAATATAACATGTAAAAAACTGCAAGTCTCGCAACGCAGTTCTGAGATCTAATTGTTTTCATCTAAGCCCAAAATCGATCTAAGTGGCGCGCAATGGGAGAGGCCTATGTCCAGCAGTGGACTGCGATAGGCTGAAGCTTAATTTCAAAACTGTATAGCAACCGTGTTAATAATAAGACTACTTTACTTTATTATTAACTGGAATAACTTGACAATCGCATACGGCAATGGAATCAACATACAATAAAATCAACCTTACATAGTTATAAATCAGTGACTTTTTTATGTTTCTAAATGTACAAATTGGGTTTACGCTGTGAAGTTGAAGACTTCTAATGTGATTGTACCGTACGATGGCAAAGTAGTTATATTTTAAACCGTAACTCTTGGCAACAGTTAGACATACGTCTACTGACGCGACGATTAGGAAATATGGACCTACCCAAATGAGGATTAAAGAAAATTAATAGTCTGAGGTTGCAAAAGTACTAGGTTTTACTGGAAGACGATCACAATTACATAATATGTATTTCCTTACATAAATTGTTCATTGATCAGTTCCAATTTTTATGCATCGTAATGTGACGAAGTGGCAATTGGGATTTTTTTAAGTAAAACATCTTTATCTTGAACTCAAACTCAAACTTTCTTTATTTCATAAAATTTTCAAAATTGTTTGAAATCGTCTTCCATGTAGACTCTAAAGTCATAGATCAACACACACAAAAGCAACAATCTCTGTTTTGTCAAATAGTAACCAAATAAATTTAACAAAATCAAACCCATACAAAATCTATGCCTGTGCCGATCTACAACCGCCCGTTTCCAAGGGGTTGAGCCTTATGAGAAGAAAGGGCAAACAAACTCATGGCCACTCTTTTGCAATTCACAAGTAGATACAATGGCACTATTAAATATATCACAACATTGTTTTGATGTGTGCTAGTATGTCCGTTATTAAGGACTTAAAGGTGAAAAAACAACGAAGAGAAAACAAGATTAAGAAGAACAAACGAATACAAGAGAAAATGAAGTGAAACATAAAAAATAGAAAAAATAATAAAAAACATACTAGCCACACCACATTTTTACTTAAGAAAGAAATAGCCTGCGCTAATTAATCCCAAGCATTCTTGTCCTCCATGTAATCCACAATCGAGTAGTAGGCCCTCTGGCACAAGCCACGTTTTATTGCGGATTTAAATTTGTTAATACTCAACTCCTGAATATTATTTGGGATTTTATTATAAAATCGGACACATTGACCTCGAAAAGACTTGTTTATCTTTTGGAGCCTAGAGGCGGGTACAACAAATTTATTTTTATTTCTGGTATTTATGGCATGTACATCACTTTTTTTCAAAAAGCTATCTTTATTTTTGTGAACATATATTACATTTTCATAAATATATTGACTTGCCACTGTCATTATATTTATTTCTTTAAATTTCTGCCTCAATGAACAACGATTGCCTAAATTATAAAGTGCTCGAATAGCTCTCTTTTGCAGCACAAAAATAGTTTGAATGTCGGCAGCATTCCCCCACAGCAGAATACCGTACGACATTATGCTATGAAAGTAACTGAAGTAAACAAGTCGTGCTGTATCAACATCAGTCAACTCTCGGATTTTCCTTACTGCGTATGCTGCTGAGCTGAGTCTACTCGACAATTTATCAATATGTGGGCCCCACTGTAGCTTAGCATCTAGTGTTATACCTAAAAATGTCGTAGTGTCCACAAGGTCCAGCCCGACATCCTTAATTATCACAGTAGTTTTCACTGGCTTGACGTTTGGCATAGTGAAACGTATACACTTAGTTTTTTGTTCATTTAATAGTAAATTGTTGACATCAAACCAATGAACCACTTTCGAAATGGCGCTGTTTACAAATGTGAAATCAGAAAGTGTCCGTTTTAGTCTAAATAATAGTGATGTATCATCTGCAAACAACACAATCTCGAGATTGTCCTTGACAAAGTGAGGTAAGTCGTTAATATATACTAAAAACAAAAAAGGGCCGAGAATAGAACCCTGTGGAACTCCCATTTCTATCACAGAGCCTGGAGACCGCTCACCATTAATATCAACTTTTTGAATCCTATTACATAGATATGAGGCAAGTAGTTCCAGGGCTTTATTTTTGATACCATAGTGCTGTAATTTCCTGATCAGCGTTTCATGAACAACACAATCAAAAGCCTTAGATAAATCGCAAAAGATACCTAGAGAATCGTGGGCATCCTCCCAGGCATCAAATATATGTTTTACTAGCTCAACACTAGCATCAGTTGTGGAGCGACCCCTTGTAAAACCAAATTGTCTATTGTGCAATAAATTATTATTATTAAAAAAACTGTGCAATTGATCATACATAATTTTTTCAAAAAATTTACTAAATACTGGTAGTACTGAGATAGGTCTAAAGTTAGTTGGGTCAGATGTACTACCAGATTTGAATAAGGGAATAATTTTACTAGACTTCATAAGATCAGGAAATACACCACTATCAACACATTGATTAAATGTAAATGACAATTGATTAGCCACAAGAGATATAATTGTCTTAGTAATTAATTAACAGAATTTCCCCATAGGTCGGTTGTTTTTTTAACATTAATAGTGTTAAAGGCTTTAATAATTTCAAAGGGGGACACATATTGGAACTTAAATTCACTATCAATTCTTCTAACATTCTCTTTTAAAATTGATTCTGCAAGGTATGGTGAGGAGTTCAAAGATTTAGTAGTTGATACAGGAATGTTAGTAAAAAAATTCTCAAATGCAGCAGCAACCTCAGCATTTGATGTGATAAATTTATTGTTTATGTTTAAATTAAATTCATTATCACGGTTTGGATCTTTGCCAGTTTCACTATTAATAATTTTCCAAGTGGTTTTAATCTTATCATTACTACTTTTAATCTTTGAACTAATAAAACGAGACTTAGCCAGTTTACAAAGTTTCCTAAACAGCTTCGAATATTCTTTAACATAATTATGAAACTGTTCACTTTTATTATAATTCCTCTCATCATATAGCTCGTATAATCTTTTCCTACTTTTGAGTAAGCCAGGGGTAGCCCATTCACTAAATGTGGCGTTACCTTTAACCACTAGCGTTTTTGGTGTAAAAATGGTGTTAAATGTTGAAGAGAAAGTTTCAAAAATCTATTATAATAAGTATTAGGGTTATTCTCTACACAGAGTACTGAATTATTAAAAGCAGCTTTAAGTTTATCCTTAAAGTTTTCACAACGCTTTGCGGTTTTAGGTATCACCACAATTCTTTTTTCTGACACTTTTTCATACCTATCACAGAAAGATACTAATTGACCACAGTGGTCAGAATGTAATTGATTGATTATTTTCTTGTCCTTAATAACAATATCTGTAAATATATTGTCCAAACATGTGGCAGTGGTGGCAGTGATTCGTGTAGGCTCCAAGAACAAGTTCTTCAGATTGTATGATTGAAAAAGTGCCTTGAACTTGGTTACTATACTTGAATTTTCCAATAGGTTAATATTGAAGTCACCACAGATGATGACCTTCTTTTTTGATCTTGTTACTTTAACTAATACTTCATCCATAACACGTTCAAAACAATCATACATAGCTGAAGGAGGTCTGTATACACATACTACTATGAAACCTTTTAGTTCTAAACAGGCTATTTCTGTAGTTCGCTCAACTGATAAACTAACAATGTCATGGCGCTCTTTAAATTTAAGTTTCTTATTAATGAGTATCATAGTGCCACCATGTATTGCTGTACTTCTGCTGAACGAGCTGCCTACCTGGTGGTGGTCAAAATTGAACATAAACTGATCCCCTTTTAGCCAGTGTTCAGTAATACAAAAAATATCAATTGCATTGCAGTTCATGAACAGTTCCACCTCCAAGTCTTTGCCCATCATTCCTCTAATGTTTTGATGCACCAAATTTATATTATTTATCATATTATTTTTAATAAATTTACTGTGATTGAACTTTCTATTAGTGATCAAATTAATATTGCAAGAGGTAGTCTCTATTGTCTTATCAGTAAATTTAAATTATTTGAAATGTCAATCTCATTATTATGTAAATTATTAGGTATGTCATTTAAATTTTTATTAATGTCTAAAGAAATATCTGCCAACGGATTGGCAAAGTCGCTATGGGTAATGTCAATTTGCTCAATAGAAGCAATAGTTTTAGCCAAGTTCTTGGCTGTAATGGAAAAATAATATGATAGCGAAATTGCTATTTGTCTCTTATAATAATTAGAAAGGTAATATCTACCTTTCGTCAATGAAATATTATTACTAACAAGCTTGTTAGTGTCGATTAGATGTAATTTATTACAATAGGGTCCATTTATTTGGCAAGTTAGGTTGTGCATCATTATATTTAAATTATATCTAACATTTCTTTCCTTCTGCGACAACCCTTTGCTAAGAGGAAGTGTAAACAATAATATTTTATTTACATTGACATGGGGAGTAAGCTGGTGAATGAGTAACGAGAGAGTTACGAAAAGTGTGGTCGGGCGAGGCGAACGGAAGTTGAGAGGGAGATATAAGTTAGTGAAGATAGATAGAGAGAGAATCATGTTTCGTATATGACTGTAGGGGCAAGAAAGATGCGAGCACACATTTTCTTTGTCTCATAGCCAAGAAGCTTTACTTCAGTTGTGTGGTCTAAAGCACACTTGTTTTTTTTTTATAAAGGTCTACAAGCAAACGAAATTACTAGTGTTCCCGTTAATCCCTCATTTAAGCTAAATTGCTTGTGCTAGGAGTGGGTTCACGTCGGTAGTCAGGACTGGTCAGGATTCGAACCTTTTTGATTGCAAGTCCAAATTTATTCTCCGACAAGTATTAATGCCAATCTTCTTTTTCAGAGTCAGAAAAAAGTGCAATATAAACCGATTAGAAGCGTCCTCGTTGCCAACAGAGGCGAGATCGCTATCAGAGTATTCCGAGCATGTACCGAGTTGGGGATCAAGTCCGTCGCTATTTACAGCGAACAGGACAAACTGCAGATGCACAGGTAATAATTTTTTGAAATTATATTCACCTCCTATTGGTTGTTACCGGACTGTCCAAGGAGGGTTATGGTCATTGAGCATATACGTGTATCTATACTATAATATTATAAAGCTGAAGAGTTTGTTTGTTTGTTTGTTTGTTTGTTTGTTTGAACGCGCTAATCTCAGGAACTACTGGTCCGATTTGAAAAATTCTTTCAGTGTTAGATAGCCCATTTATCGAGGAAGGCTATAGGCTATATATCATCACGCTAAGACCAATAGGAGCGGAGCACTAATGAAGAATGTTTCAAAAACGGAGAAAATTTATTACTATTGAGAGACGCAGACGAAGTTGCGCGGGTCAGCTAGTATAAGATAAATAGATACTTAATCTTAGATCTAATTATAATGAGATCTAAGATTATGTAACTACATAATTATTTGACACGCTCGACGATCTAAACCGTTTCGGACGTAACTTTATTAATACCTACTACGATGTTGAGAACGCAGTCTTCATGTTGATTTCTTTATTTAATGGAAAAAATAAATGAATAACATGTGCTAAAAATTAGTTTGTCATAAAAAAAATGAAATCTAAAATCACCGAATACGTGTACCATAGACATAATCTAGATAAGAAAAGAAGGAACTTAAAATAATAAGTAAAGAAGAACATAGAAAATTGATTAGATGATCAGTAAGATCGCACACGGCAATGCAATCATCATCATCAATAGCCTCTTGTAGTCCACTGCTATACATAGGCCTCTCCTTAGAAGAGAGATCATGATCACACGCATTTAATTGTATCTTTCAATTTAGCACAGCTATATTACTTACGTATCTTTACAGACAAAAAGCAGACGAGTCCTATCTGGTCGGCAAAGGTCTTCCACCCGTGGCAGCATACCTTAACATTCCAGATATCATTAGGATAGCAAAAGAGAATGATGTCGATGCCGTACATCCTGGATACGGTCTTCTGTCTGAGAGGTAAGGTTCATAAAGCTTTTTTATTTTTGTTGTGACAATTTTAAGTTTGAATATTACATATGAAAAAAAAAGAAACTACTGCCTGAGTACATATTTGAAGTAAATTTTACTGAAACTTAAGGTTGCTCAAAAATGTTTGCAATACGTTGGTCATTGACCTTTCCGAATAGCAACATTACAGAAGTGGTTTTGTACCGTTTGTGGCTTGCGGATGAGGTTTGAATACCAATAAACATGTAAAATTATGTATCTATACAAATAAATAAAATTGAATTGTCTGTTTGTAATGTCAAAATAATAGGTTTTTTTTAATGCTCACACGGCTATTTTCACGATACCTAGGCCTAAAAACTGGTTTAAATATTTTTTGTCTGTCTGTCTGTTTGTTCCGAGTAATCTCGAAAACGGCTGCACCAATTTTGATAATATTTTACAACCAGGTAGCTGTCTATATAAGGATTAACTTACGCTAATTTTCCTCTCAGAAAAACTCTATAAAATTTTGCTCTTTCCGTGAATCGAAACCGAAGCCTCATAAAGTTACAAAGTTACACACATTTATTTACATTCAAAGCTAGAAAACTAAAATATAACTACTGCAATCACGTACCGTACTACATACACCACTAAGGCGGCGCTTTCCACGCGAACGAATACGCAGGTACCAGCAAGTTATAAAAATTTATGACATTGACGTATCCATGTTTTTGATGTTGTATTGACTCGAGATCTCAAAAACTATGCAGGCACGATCTACTTATTTAATACGTTTGCAAGACGTCAGTGCATACTATGACACGCTCGTGGATGTAAAAAATTGATGAACAAAACTGTTTGTTTAACGGTTATAAAATCTCTTTATAAAATTAATTCTGTGTAGAAAAGCTTTCAATTGCGTATCTTTTATTATTCATAGTGTATGTAATATCAGAGTCATATCTAGTCATCAAGAGTCTGCTGCTAGACGTAGTCCTTGGAAAGAAGGTATTGGCCTACTATACCACGCTGGCCAGACGGGTTGGTATAGGGTTTGTGTCAAGTTATGCTTCTCTTTGCAGTGTTGTTGTCCTGCGTAGTTTGCTCCCTTAGTCGGCTCTTACGACACCCTCGGAAAAATAGGGGTTTGTGACACTGTATTCTTAATCCATCACCACACGGACAGGAGTGATATCTAGGAATGTATTGTAAGGAAGTATGGCTTTATGAAAAGAAATAATGTCGACTATGTCCGTAAACAGTCACGTAAGAAGGATATGGTGTAAGAAGGTAATATCTTCTTACACCATATTCTTCTCCGTCATGTTATGACGCAAGAAAGTTACCTTCATATGTATATGTCAAAATACAAAAGTATATTATTATAAAAAAAAACTACTGTGATAGTTTGGACTAACTAATTAACTACTGGAAGAAGAAATTGGTATATTAAAAAAAAATGTGATTTTAAAATGTATTTGTTTTTTTAAAGCTTAAAAATTTAAAGTTTGTAACTTATTAGGAAATTAATTTTATTATGTAATAAATCTTAAACAGTCTGTAGGGGAAACAGATAAAAGTATATGAACAGAGATGCAAAAAATCTGTTTTACGATTGCAGTGCATTCAAAAGAGATCTAAATCTTTATTTCTACAGAAATCAAGTCAGATTCCCGGCTCGTACCTACCAGTAGCTGGGGAACCCTGTGTACCCCAGAAAGAAAATTAAGCGGCGGTAGCCTAGTGGTTAAAGCATTGGACTTGCGATCAAGAGGTCGTGGGTTCGAACCCTGACTAATATATTACCGATGTGAACCCACTCCTAACACAAGCAATTTAGGTTAGCTGTAGGGGGTGTACCCTAGAAAGGAAATACCTGGTACAAGGTGTACCCTAAAAAACAAATCACCAAATTACTCCTACAGATTACAGGAAAGCGATTGAAAAAATTAATCGTTCCTGTACAAGTAATTAATTGCCTCAATTACCTTCAGATCTGACTTCGCTCAGGCTGTCACCGATGCAGGACTTCGATTCATTGGACCTACGCCATCTGTTGTACAACAGATGGGAGACAAGGTCGCCGCTAGAAAAGCTGCCATTGAAGCTCGTAAGTGTTATTTTAAGGTTCACGTATTAGTAAGCGAATCCTTAGTCAATTTAGGTAGGTATAAAATATGTCACATGAAATTAATGGCTGGTCACATTTGTGAGACTCTCCGCCTCCCTAGTGTGACGTCACATTTATAATAATAGTAATATACATTAAATCGAACATTGAAAAAGTCAACAAAACAAAAAACGAGTTTCGCGTTTTAATACTTAGATATATCAGGTTTTGAAATGTGACGTCATGAAATTTAGGAGCCCCTTCCGCCCCAAGTCACACAATCTAAACTCCCGCTCCTCCTGAACGTATGACTTAATTATTGGATGGCCCCTAATTAGTGACTTTTTAGTATGACAATCAATATAAGAATGAAAGTATAAATTTTCTCTCTTTTTTTCTCTCGTTATTAGCATATGCGGAATGTACGATCTTAACATGCTTGGGTGATTTTTATTACGCAAGTTTCTGGTCTACGATTTTATTAATATTTGTGTTCTAACGACTCTAGCGTTACACATATTTGAAGTGATGTAATAGCACAAAAGATGTGATTGTATTCAATAATAATAATACACATATCACAAACGGTAGTCGACCCCAAACTAGGCATATCATGTGCTATGACTGCCTCGGTGGTGCAGTGGTGTATGCAACTGCTGTGCTACGGTCTCGGGTTCGATTCCTAATTCCGACCAAATGTTTATATGATCTGCAAATATTTGTTTCGGAGTTTGGGTGTTTTCTATATATAATATGTATGTATTTGCAAAAAAAGTATTCTATTAGACAATCTTGCTTTCATAGTACAAGCTCTGCTTAGTTTGAAACTAGTGTTGTGTCCTCCTTCTCCCTCCCCCTCCTGATTCTGGGAGGCGAAGCACTTAAAATTTGGTTACGCACTTGTGTCTTTAAAGTTGCATGTATCGATGGGTCATTTAACACAGAAAATAAAACATATGAAAGTGACTTTTGTTTGTAGTTCGATAAGAAATTAAGGCGGATGATTATCACTTGAGCATGCGATAATAAAATTGGGTAATAAAGCATTATTACGGTCAATCTTTTTAAATCAACAACAATTACAATAAATGTTATCAAACAGTTGGATTACCAACGTCATCTGGAGCGTGATCACCTGTGTAAGTTTATTTAACGAGACATTTGACAGCGAGCGCGTTCGGCGTTCTGATTGGTTGAGATTTCAGTGCTTGCCAATCGCAGTGAGGAACGCGGTTACCGTGACGATCGAGTATATGTGAAATAAACTCTCACTTGGGACTATGAGTTTTCATTCTGACGGGCCTAAACCGAATGTCGTGGATTTCATTCTCACCCAGGACAAATAATTGTGTGATGAGCACGAAAATTTGTTATCTCTGGATGTAATTTATCCATAATAAGTCAAACTCAAAGTCAAAGTTTTTATTGCGTTCATGTGTACATAAGGTGTTAATTACAATTTTGGTTCTAAAGACATGAAACTGTGCTAGGGCACAGCAATTTTGTTGGTATTAGGCTTATGTATTTGGTATTAGGGTTATGTATCTGTTTATCAGCATTCTGGTTACTATAGCACAGGCTCTGCCTAGAATGGGATTAGACTACCGTGTGCGAGATATGTTAAGTTATTTTTATTATTATTCTGATCCTATCAAGATTTTTTGGCAACATTCGTCCTCCAATCATTTCGAAGATTTCTAATGAAATTTGTCCTCTTGCAGGTGTACCTATTGTCCCGGGTACGGACGGCCCAATCAGCACGACAGAACAAGCATTGGCATTCTGCAAGACTCATGGCCTTCCAGTTATATTTAAGGTAGATATTAGTAATTATAACTAAACATTAATAATATATCAATGGCTTAATAATAATATATATAAATTGTCTCCTAAATCCCTTCCGATCGGGTTTTCGTCCCGGACACAGTACTATCACAGCTCATTCATGTTACGGTGGACATCAGGTCAAATATGGAGGAGTTAAAGTTAGCGATCCTTGCCCTGCTTGATTTCAGTAACGCTTTCAACACCGTTGACTTTGATGTCTTGCTCAGATAACAGCGCTCTCTCAACATGTTTCCATCAGTAATTGACTGGTTTCATAGCTACCTGTACGGTCCTCAACATCGTGCTTTTATTGAAAATAATTATTCCGTGCAATACTTCTGCGGGCGTACCTCAGGGTGGCGTGCTATCCCCATTACTCTTTGCAGTTTTTATCAACTCCATAACTGATCGATTAACTTCTTCCTACCACCTTTATGCTGATGATCCATGATGATGAATCCAAATATACACTCAAGCTTGTCCGGCTTAAATATCCGAAGCTATCAGTGCTATTAACAAAGATTTAATACATAAATGTACCTGGAGTAATCAGTATGGGCTAAGAGTAAATCCAACAAAACTCAGGTAGGTAATTGTAGTAAGTAGTCCTAGGATGAACGCCTTGATAAATTGGCAACGACTGTCTACTATCTATTGCAATGGATCTAGTATTACATAAAATAACACTGTAAAAAACTTGGGGATCTGTATGGACAAGTTCTTGTCCTGGGCTCCTCAAACTGGGGCGGTTAGTCGAAAATTATTTGCTGCAGTGGGGTTATTGCGAAGAATTCGTAACTTCCTGCCCACCGATTCCAAAATTGCCCTAGCCTAATCTCTTCTCCTCTCTATACTTGACTATGGTGATGTTAGCTATCTAGATCTCACCGAAGACCAATTGAACAAACTTGAGCGTCTCCAAAATGTCCGCATAAGATTCATATTCGGTTTACGCAAATATGATGACATCTCTAAGTATCGTGTTAAGCTCAAATGGTTACCTATACGCCTTCGCCGGAATGTTCATATCCTCTCTATTTTATACAGTATTCTTTTCTTACCACATTCACCGTCCTATCTCAAAGAACGTTTTGAGTTCTTACACAATTCACATTGCAGGTTCCTAACATCAGAGAATCTGAAGTTGAAAATGCCCAAGCATACCACACAATTTAGTTTAATTGTTATCGGTGCAGGTATTTAGACTGTTGGAACAACTTACCCGAGGAAATCCAAAAAGCTTAATCATTGCAATTATTCAAAAAACAAGTCACAAATTACTACTTGACACAAACTAAATGTACTGAAGCAAAGCATACATTTGTTTAGCAAAAATTCTTACTAAATAACGTTTCGGATTTTGAACACATTATAAAGTTTCGATAAAATATTGTCTACCATTAAATGTAAAAGAACGACTATAACGATAAAGACTATTAAAATAAAAAAATAAAAAATAACTACATCCGTATCGCAATGCAATTACCACCTGTACCTAATCCGTATGGATTAGGTACCTACAGGTGTCGGGAATCGAACCTGCTAGGCTTATATTATAATTACCTGGTACCCGCGACTTCGTGGAATTTGAAAGCCGCTGCCTTAGCAGGTTCGATTCCCGGACTGGGCAAAATTTTAAAGGGTTTTTCTGAGAGGAAAAATAGCCTAAGTGACTTCCTTATATAGACAGCTACCTGGTTGTAAAATATAATCAAAATCGCTCCAGCCGATTAGAAGATTATCCGGAACAAATAGACACATTTAGTGCGCACCTACGCCAAGCCGAAATTTACCAAAATTTTGCAAATTTGGCAAAAATTTAACAAAAAGAAATACGATAAGCTCGGTATTTCTTTTTGGTAAATTTTGTGAAAATGAAATCTAACTAGATCAATTAATTGACCCCGAAACCCCCTGAATATTAAATTTCATTAAAGTCTTTGGAGCCGTTGCCGAGATTCAGGTTATATATATATATATATATATATATATATATATATATATATATATATACCAGAATTACTCGTTTAAAGGTATTAAATAAATGAGTATGACGAACCAATTAACAGCATTTTATGTGAGCACTTCTTTCAGGACTACCCAAATACATATCTATTTATTCTATTACTTTATGCTCACTTCACTACGAAAATAAAATCACTGAATGCAGATCTCCTCAACAAATACGACCGTCTTCTTAATAACTGCATTCGATTCATTTTTAATCTTCGTGAATATGATCATATTTCCTCCTTTCGTCTTAAATTAAATTGGCTCCCAATTCGTCAGCGTCGTCACCTGCGGGCACTAACGACTCTCTACACTATTCTCAACTCTCCTAACTCGCCTACATACTTGACATCCTCCTTCCAGTTCTTGTGCTCCAATCATAACAGAACCCTTCGCTCTACAAATAATCTTCTACTCTTATGTCCTGCCCACACTTCTGCGTGTGTTCATTCTTCCTTCCTCACTCAATCTGTACTTCTATGGAATGCTCTTCCCCAGGATATCAGAATGGCGACCAGTCGTAATTCGTTTAGGGCGAAGGTGCGGGCTTTTCTTGACCGGAATGTAGCGGAATCATCACAAATATGATACTTTATGTATTATGGTATATATGTATGTGTATATTTATAACACAATATATATGAATATGAATGTATGTATTCTTGTATGTATACGTTGGTATTTATATATTATTTCACTGCTTTTTGCTCAGTATTGCTATCATTACTTCTTTTATGTCCAGTTTATAATTCTCAACCAAAGGGTAGTGCACCTCCACACTCATTTCCACACCACCCTAAGGTAGACTGGTAGAGAATGCCTATGGCATTAAGTCCGCCATTGTACTTGTGTGCATAAAGTTGATAAATAAATAAATAAATAAATAAAATACCTTTAATGACAGTTGTGAGATCGAAAGTTGATCGGAACTGACTTGAGACCCAAGTTATTACGAGAATTGGCCTTCTGGTTCCCCGGCTACTGGTACCCGAGAAGGCGTGCGGTTTGAAGTCGCTTTGAGTCCGACATAACCACCCCAACGGTGGGTTATATCTAAGAGGATTTCCGCTAGATATTCCAAGGGATAGGGGAGAGGAGAGCACGAACCGTAGCTTTGAACGATGCTATACTGATTTTCTGTGGTAGTTCGTTCCAGAAGAGGACAGGCTGAATAGTAAAAGAAGTAGACTGAATAAAATATCCAAATTAATTCGGTTAAATTACCTCCCCAAAATTTTAAATGGTTTATAATAGTTTACGAATTGCGGGATTTCAGCTTTACAAGTCGGTTCTGTTTTCTTTAGGCGGCGTACGGTGGAGGAGGTCGCGGTATGCGCGTGGTGCGCGAGATGAGCGAGGTGGTCTCGTCCTTCGAGCGCGCCTCCTCCGAGGCGCTGGGGGCCTTCGGGAACGGCTCCATGTTCATCGAACGGTTCATCGAGAGGCCCAGACATATCGAAGTGCAGTTGTTGGGTGAGTACATTAATACCATATTTTTTTCATGATTTAATAATACAGGATTTAAATTTATTCTATGATAATGATCAATTGAAAGAACATATCTGAAATGGTATGCTTTTTTTAATTTTCGCAAATCCATCGTTAATACTCTTCATAGTAAATTGTTTACGGTGCCCACAGACGCCATGAACTAAATAACTCGAGATTAATAAAATACAAATAAAATTGCCTGAACATTTTACTACATACTACAATAATCGTTTCAGTAGCTAAACATTAAATCAAACTAATTATCGAATTTATAATGTTAATTAGGATTTATATCTCTCTTTTCTAGGTGACAAGGCCGGCAACGTTGTCCACTTATACGAACGTGACTGCTCAGTACAGAGGCGGCATCAAAAAGTTGTGGAAATCGCACCAGCACCGCATTTGAATCCTGAGGTGATTAACTGCACTTTTAGTTTTTTTCTAAAATAATGAAGTGTATAATTATAATTACCTTCTAGTTAGTTTACTATTTCTATATCCAGCGTGACGTGTCTAGCTTAATATGGGCCGTAAAAGAAATGATCCGATAATATTTGTATTCTCAATCTTTCGTGAAAACTTGCTTGAAATTAATCAAATTAAGTGTAACCCGCCCTGATGTGAAAAATGATAAACGGACTTTGATTAAAATAACCGAAACCTTTTATGTGAACAGAGGTACAGCCAGCGCCTCGTACAGAAATGCGCGACACTTTGTGCACGGCGTAAACAAAACGCGTGTTCAAGGTCCTTTATCTGAACATAGCCTTATATCTATATCTAAACTTAAATGAAACGCAATGCATACAGACAATTATTAGCAATTGAAATCATGTGCACACATTTATTATAATTGTAAAAGAATATGGATGACAATCTAAATAATACAAATGGAATGACTACTAATAGTTACTATTTGCCTTGTCGTAGTTTTGATGTTAATGCAAGTTCTGCTATCTTTTTAATAGTCCTTAAATTAAGAAGAGGAAAAGAGAGAGAAAATTTTGGCAAATGTTATAGATTACCGTTACTAGCATATTTACTCCTGCTGCTTTGAGGTTTAAAATATTGATATATTATGATTAATATATTTAGGATATATTTTAAGAAGTAATTGGTACTAAGATGAAAATCAAACCATAGGCGTATTGTATTTCGGTCTCCATGAAGTAAAACTAGACATTTACATACATATAAATATATTCTTTTGTTATCTTCAATCATTATTTGGTCGAAGTTTGTGATTAAAATTTTTATATCAGCTTTTACCCCTTACTTCAATCCAGTTAACGAAGATTTTGTCAATCAATCCAGATGCCCCTCAGTTTCAGTGCTATTTTTTGTGGATGACAAGTGCCCTATATCCTCTTTTCTTTGATTAATTTTCTTCTTATGTACACAATATATACATTTACAGAAAGAGTAAATAAATGATGTGCACAAATGCGAGCTTAACCCAGAGTTGAGTTCTCTTCCAGCAAACCTATGAGTGAAGAGAGGATAGCACAACAAGAGAGAGTCAACAGGAGAGAAAATAGAAATAAACAACTTAATATATACAGGAATATATAGATTCTATCAGTCAATCTAGCTTTCATAGTACAAGTTTTGCTTAGTTTGAAACTAGATAGTGTCAGATGTCCGAAATATTATTATTATCGATTGAGCAAGGAACACTAACAAAAAACAAACTTACATTCCCCTGTTATATGTATTGGTTAGGGTAAATATTAGATTAATATTTATATCATATAAACCTATTAGTTTTGCATCCAGTATTCTAGCATAAAACCTATAACTATTTTGATTTGTTCGCAGACGAGACAAAAGATGGTGGAATGTGCAGTACATTTGGCGAAACACGTGGGCTACGAAAACGCTGGTACCGTGGAGTTCCTGCTCGACGATAAAGGAAACTTCTACTTCATTGAAGTTAATGCTAGGTATGTATTGTGCTGTCTTTGGTATGATCACAGAAATCGTAATAATAAGACACTAGAAATGAATTAGCGCCCGATTACTTCCAAAACCGATGTCGCCACATCTTAACACATACACAAAATACAAACAAATAGATATAAGACCCGCACATACTTGCAAAACAACGGTGAAATGTATAATGCACAAACTATTATAAACCTTAATCTCCGGGAATTACAGTGCATTTTACTCCAATGTGTTATAACGCACCACTACAATATCTTTCGACATGTGAGAATCCCTGTAAACAATGCTAGGGATTGTCAATTTTTTATTTTTATTTTTTATATATATTCAAATGGATTACAAGTAGAGCCTTTTGATAGTCAAATGTTCATACAATATAAAGCCATCACGTTCTTTTGATATCTTTACGATGTCAGCTAACTTCACTTTTCGATCATTCAAAACGATTTTGTGCATTTTTTTTATGTTTTCTGGTGTTGGTTCCTCATTTGGAAATTGTTTTGAAAATAACAAAGTAGTGTCACTCGTAGCACGATAACTCGCAAACTTATGAGTAGAATATCATGAAATTTTAACAGCTTTCTTTTGAAGGTTATTACTAACTGAAAAGGCGGTAACTGCAATAAGCGCCATCTATGTGTTAGTCCCGGGACTTTTCAGCCCATGTACTACATTGCTTGGCGGGTTTGTCAACATCACGTACAACAAGAGAAGAACAAATCAGCAATGATAATTGTACACAACGGCAAGTAATAAATGAAGCATCGAGATGTAAATTAGTAAAAATAATGATTCATTAGTAAAAAATCAACTTACAGAGGAAATGTTATGCATTTATTAGTTGGATTGACACATGACACATATGACGCTCCTAACTAAATCACGAATGGTGTGAATTTCTGTAAGTGGTGTTTTCTCTACACACCATTGAGGCGACATGGTCAAGCGTCTATGCGACTTTTAGTGTCTTATTATTACGATTTCTATGGGGATGATACTATGAGCAATTGGATGCTAATAATAAAAAACTCTTATGTGCTATCTGTTATTAAGAATACTGTCTTCTCGAGAATACACCGAATGTATTATACACATTTCCTATTTTTTAGTCTTTGTTTCCTAACATATTTTATTTCAAATCGTCTGCAAAAGGAATTTTTTTTTTCGGTTTTTGCAATAGTTTTCATTGATGCTCGACTCCTATTGGTCGTGGTGATGTTTTATGGCCCAACCATCCTCGACGAACTCATCGTAAAAGAATTATTAAATTCGAACCAGTAGTTCTTGAGATTAACGCGTTCAACCAAATAAACAAACTCCTCAGCTTTATACTATTACTAAAGATAAATCTTTTTTTCTTTTTTATGAAACTAGATTTAAAGTCTATTATAAAGGCCCATAGGACTGAGTTTATGAAAGGAAGGCAGAATGCATCTTAGAAATATTATTTTTTCTGTTTTTGTTTTGCCAGTGAGAGTTATTTTGCTAAAAAGACTAACATTAATTCTAACAATTCCTTCTCAGACTGCAAGTAGAACACACAATCACAGAAGAAATTACAGGCATCGACTTGGTACAGTCTCAGATAAAAGTGGCAGAAGGTATGACGTTACCAGAGCTGGGACTCACACAGGAGAATATCAATGTTCAAGGGTACGCGATACAGTGCCGGGTGACTACCGAAGACCCCGCGAATAACTTCCAACCTAGTACTGGCAGGATTGAAGTCTTTAGGTAATAAACCTCTATGTTTCAATTCCTTTACCTATAAAAAAAATAAGATTACTAAGTTTTAGAGAAATGCTTTGGCATAAATGGGACGCCTCCACCGGCAAGAAACTGCTCCCCCCCTCTGATTGAAATCGATTGCTCGAATAGCGGAGTAGTTTAAACGGTCACCACGCTGCTTTCTACTGCGCCGTGTTGTTTATTCGATCCCCACATGTGACAACACTTTGTGAGATCCACAAATTGTTGTTCTGAGTCTGGGTGTCCTTTGTGCCGTTCATGTATGTTTGTAAAGACCACCGCGACACAGCGTTGCAAAGCAAAAAATTGAGGAGGGAGCATTCAAAGGCCCCTTTGCACTTGTGACTCTTACATTGCAGGTGTCATTTAGCGGAGGTAGTTACTCACCATCCGACTGCTTGTTTGCCCCTTTATACCATAAAACTGGGGGACATTCAAACTCAACACAAACAATTTTCAAAAGCGCGTTGAAATATCAAGCTGTAAGAAAATCATGCTGTTAAGTTATAAATCTGAACCATTTAGCGGAGGTATTTTTAGTACCCAAAAATTGAGTCTGTCATTTCACAGTATCCCATTTAACATCATCGCAATATTCCAGGTCTGGCGAAGGTATGGGCATCCGTCTCGACTCCGCTTCGACGTTCGCTGGTGCTGTTATTTCGCCATACTACGACTCTCTGCTTGTTAAGGCTAGTTTCTTTTATTGTGGTTTTTTTAATAACTGAAGCACTATAGGGAATAATAAAAAGGATTCCCGGAGATTAATTTTAATACATATATTGCAAAAAACTCACTTTGATAACTAATAGCATATAAAAATTGAGCCGTCGCGAGTCGTTTGGCAGATGTGACTTTTTTTTAAATAATTATCATAAAAGGAAAAAATAAATATGGCACAATTAAAATATAATATTCAGATTTAAAAAAAAAAGATTATTGTTTATTCAATATACATTTATATTAATTTAGTAAATAAATTAGCAGTAGCGACCCGTCGCCCCTCCCAAGCGGTCTGACCATATCAGATGTTTCACATCCAATATATAGCGTAACAAAACAGTGCTTTTAATATATTTCACTAAATATTATAAAATTATATACTGATTTAAAGGAGTGTCCGTGAGTTTGCTCAATTTCTTGTCACAAGGCTCAACTATTTAAAAAAAGACGATTGAAATAATATCAAAGAGAAAAAAAATGAATTTGCCTTATCAATGGTACAATAATAATTCCAAATGTTTTATGTTCGTGCAGGTAATCTCTCACGCCCACAATCTGCCATCATCTGCCGCTAAAATGAACCGCGCCCTTCGAGAGTTCCGTATTCGTGGTGTGAAGACCAACATTCCCTTCTTACTCAATGTGTTGGAGAACCAAAAGTTCTTAAATGGTGAGTTTCGGATCAAAATGCTAGAAATCTGTTACTTAATTATCTGACGACGTGGCGAGTTCTTAGCATCATCATCATCTGCCTACCCTTATCCCAATTTTACTTGGGGTCGGCTCAGTATGTTTGATTCTTCCATTCTACTCTATCATGAGCCATCCCACTGTTTACTCCCTTCCTAGCCTCTTCCCTTGTACCCTTCACTAAACTTCCTACTTAAACTCTTAATGGGCCAACTTTCAGAACCATACAGGACAGCTGGTCTGATGATAGTTTTATAAATTTGTCCTTTAAGTGTTAAGGGGAAACTTTATATATTAAATAAAAGCAGCAGAACCTTTTTCCCTTAAAAGTAGACTGTTTATTTTTTTGTTTTTCTAGATGTAACATCTTTACTCTCGCTTGCCTGCAATCTGTGAGAGTAATTTAATTAAAGGGACGGAAATATGTAACAGAAAGACAGGCAAGCGAGCGCTAATTGATTTGACCTAAGAGTGGTTTGAGTTGACCGTCAGATAGCAGTCGAAATTTTAGATATTACACACCATATGCGACTAATGGTCGCTTGTTTTTTACTTAATAGCTATTGAAGGTCTTTTGTATTATTATCGCTGGACATAGGCCTCTCCTTAGTAAAAGAAAAGGAAGGATAAAAAAGCGAAGAGAAAGAAAACTTGACACAAAACCTATACCAACTCGTCTGGCCTGAGTGATATTAAAGGAGGCCAAAACCTCCTTTCCAAGGTGAAGCCTTTGTATTTATCAATAAAAATTAATGAGAAACAATAATTTAATAAATTAGTCTGTTTTTTTTTAAATATAAGAAATACTTTTGTTCTTCACTAGGTTCCGTTGACACATACTTCATCGACGAGCATCCAGAACTTTTCATGTTCAAGGCTTCGCAGAACCGAGCACAAAAGCTCCTCAACTACCTTGGACAGGTGTTAGTGAATGGTCCAGCCACACCTTTGGGTACTAGTATACCACCTTCGGATGTTAAACCTTACATCCCTAGTGTTCCACTGGGTGAGTAAACAATTCATTTTATACCGTATTGGGCATACATAAAGATGAATTTTCAATGTTAATTACTTATTCACCATTTAAAACCAAGAACTGTTTTGGTCGTAAGTCACTAATAGAACATTATCCGATAATGAATACTAAATACACTTGCACTAGAATCAATATACCGTGAGTATGAGTGATTTAAAAATGTTTAGTTTCTACTTCTTCGTCCGATTACCAAGCAACATTCAACAAAAATGATTGGTCAGTAGATAGTGTTTTGTGCGACAAGGATCGTCTGTGGCACTTTTATAATATTGACGAACGAAATAAATGTAAATGAATAATTAATAGTTACCAGTATATCTGGCACATTTTCAAATAACACATTCAAAAACACAAAGAAATTAAAAAAATTAATTAAGGGAAAAATAGAATAGCATAAACGTTAAATAGCCTGCGCCCCGTTGAATAAGTTAGGTAGAAAATCAGCAGTGCAGTATGTCTGGTAACACTGACGTAATGTATCCGCAATTCTGTTTTAACCACGTGTCGGTAGATCCTTGTCCCACTGTAGTATAAACTTTAAGTAATATGTAATAAAGGTAATTTTTAATTTATTTTACAGTAGCTCGTCGTGGGTATGGTAGGTTTTTACGAATATTTTATGAGTAATTTTATTTTGCAGTATTTTTATTTTTGCCTATAGTTACTACGAAGCAATATCTATCGAAGTAAATAATACACTGCACCGCGATTATTTCCTTTTATACTAAAACATCTGAATTATCAAATTGATTAATAATATTGTATTTATTAATAATACCGCAAATATAAATAAGTACCTTAAATTTTAACAGCTGATATTATTGCCGGCGTCTTTCTTATCTAAAATATCTGACATATAATACAATTATAATATAAAATTTTCTTTCCATGCATGGAGACGGCAAATATGCAATTTTTTACATCATAAACTTAACTGATATAAAACCTTCTTGGGTTGTTATTTTTTATTTAGATTACTGTTCAAATATTCTTTTGTCTATTTTTTTTTAAATACACCTGTTTACAAATCTGTGCGGCAATAGATGTAAATTTTTTTTTGCTATGTATTTTACTGTATGCTTTTGTTTTTATTGGAAAGTTGTTTACTGTTTAGCAACCGATCGTGTAGGACACGTTAATTATGCAACAAAATCCCATCCAGCCATTGCAACCATCACCATTTATGTAATAAAATTTCGCACACAGTTTAGTCTGTGACCTACTTATTGTAAATAATAAAACTATAGTGCAGTCATTGAGCTTAAAATATAAACAAACACGTAATATCAATAATAACTTAAAACACACTCAAGGCTGTCTTAGTCTCAAACAAGGCATGCCCAAACTATGTTAACCAGATTGGTGATAAACACACTTATATATTAATGTGTACATACTATAGATTATACGAGTATTCACACACACGTCATACACCGAACCGACCTCTAGCCTAACCCGTCGTGTTCAAAATAAAATGTCAATTAAAATCCTATACTTTACATTAATTAATTTAACACTGTGCTACCCACATATTGACAAGATTATAAACACAATAACTTACACGTTGACTTTTGTTTTTGTTGTGAACAACGTTTTATGGGTACCGGGACTGACACAGAGTATACATTTATATTTTCATAAAATTAAGCTTAGGTATATATTTAATTTGAGTAAAACGGTATTTATTGGAAGCAATTTAGATTATCTGCACAAATTTGTGACTAAACGTGTAATTGCTGCTATTATGTGTCGTATAAAAACGAAGAATGGAAGTATGAGGCTACTCTTTTTTAACATTTCTACAATTATTTTGGTGGTAATTTAAATTTCTGGGCTCACAACTCATGCCATTGGAGCACGGGATGTAGTTATGATAATTTGTTTATGTTGATTAACACCTACGACACGACTAAAACTTCATATGGCATCCTCAAAATTATGTGGTAATTTACCACTGATCCTGAAGGTACACACAGGAGCACTATAATAAAATTGGTTATGTTTGAAGTCACGTTAATTCCTTCTTTACATTCCAAGGCCCAATCTAAAACCTAAACTTATATTCAAATTTGACATTTTCTAAACTATAATACCAGTCTATATAAAAGTATGTTTCCAAACGCTTAAAGATGAGAACATTGGTAGGAATAACATGACTTTAAATTTAAGCTGCATATTGATGTTGTTTCTTCTGGTAATCATACCATTTATTTTGCACGACATACATTTTTGCACTTTCATTTTCACTTAACATGTTTTTCAGACCTTTCCCCAGAGGCTATTAAAAGACAAGAACTAACAGGGGAAAATACAGGTGAGAGATATTTTCTATTATTTATATTGACCTCAAAATTACTGGGTAGACAAAATTATTTAAATAATCGACACTATTATTAGTCCGGGAGGTACCGTTGCATTTTAGGTAGTATTTTTAAGCCGGTCGGTTGCCATCTTGTTCAATACATGTCGAATGACTGATAAGTGAACCGAGCGTCAGCTGACGCACCCGCGGTGGGTGTAGGATTGAAAGGTTCCGGAAGTGGTGAAAAAAAATAAAAAATTAAGTCATAGTACGCCGGCTGAAATTAATTTCATAAATATTTTACATCATACAGAGCTAAAAAAAAATCGTCAGCTGCATGGTGGAGGGGGGATTATGCGTCAGCCGTTTGCTTGAACTTGTAAAAAAACTCGTAAAATTAAGTTATAGTACGCCGGATGAAATTTAACTAAGTGATTGTTTAAATTATTAAAAGTACGAAAACAACAATCAGCTGCGTGGGTAGCGGTGGAAAGACCGTCAGCTGACGCACTAAGGATATAGATTATTCGAGTAATGCACAGTTTCTTTCAGGGTCCAGCTGACAGAACTCCCCTGTCCGCCCCCAACTGACTGATTGTTTTTGCAAACGTAACTATTAAACTACAGTCTTGTCTAATTTCAACCGGCATATTGAAAATTTAATGATAATCTCGAGAAGTTTATAGCTTAGCTATTTTGCTGTTTTTCTTGTTTTATTTTACATAGATGAAAGAAATGCATAATATAAAATAATATGGAGAGTAAAATGGAAATATCATCAACTAATATAAAGGGAATTTAAAAAAAAAGAGATAGAAAGATAGAAATCGATATAGAATTATTCGTAATCGATAGTATCGCTATCGTCATCGTCCCCAGATGAATCGTTATCAGAACTTTCGTCTGTCAGATTGTTCTCTTCATATTTTTCGTGTTCCTGATCTCGAGCCTCTTCTTCATCACCTGTAAATGAACAGGTTAATCATTAAAATTCGCATACCAGAATATACACGGTCAAAGAAAGTATCAACAACAAAAATTCCATACCAGCAGGAAGATAGCTCCATCGATACGGTTTTTCCACTTCAGCATATCGTTCTTATTATTAGTTTCGTAGTTTTTACTAAACGTGGCGACTCGTGTTGCGTTGACATCGTTTATCCCTTTGAATCCGTACAGACGACAAACAAATTCTTCAATCGTTGCAAAGACGTGATCTATTGTACAATTCGGGATATTTGCAATATTACCCAATGCTTGCATATATGCCTGAGATTTTCGCAACAATTGTAGAGGCTTATTTTTTCCTTTTGCTGAAAATGCAGGATTGAAATCGCAGCCTATGAGAGCATGAAACCCTGGCAACGCAGAGCACAAATTGGTTCCCAAATTTTCGTGTAATTTCGTAATATTTACGAATCTTTGGGAATTTCCGGAACTAATGTGCATGGTAATTTTCAAATCGTTTTGAATAGCATTCATATTGCCAAGCATTATGATAAGAATATCCGTATCTGAGCATCTTATGGTAACGTCAGCATCGAAATCTACCTTACAAACGTGGAATACAATTTTTGTATCAGCTTCTTCGTGAGCTGGACAAGATAAATTATGATCAACGGTTCTTAGAACTTCATTACTTTGTGATTCATATTTATAACAAAACTCGTAGTTTATATAGATCGTTTTTTCGCCTATATAGCTAGCCATATAATTATTTTTCCAGTCGTCACAAAGAAATTCGACTAAGGCAGCTTTGAAGTAAACATTCTTCAATTCACTAGCAAAATTAGCAGGGCGAACCTGATCAGGGCCATTTACACGATACTGTTGACCTCTTATCCTGCCTCTTAACAAATGCTCGTTATCTTTAATCGATGGCGAAAAGTAACCATCAAATGTTATTATAATAATCCGCGCATTATTTTTAGTGAACATTTGAATAAGTGTTTTCGAAATATTCCCAAATGTAGACGGAACGTCTTTCAATGCATGGAGCATAAAAAAACCATCATAAATAAGTACGTCACATCTTTGCGGTGCATTGTTATCTGTTTCTTTTTCTAATATTTTATCAGTTTTACAAATAACCCCATCTGCGTGACACATTGCTAAGGGAACTGGCGTAAGTGGATACGACAAAACTTTGTCAATATTTAATGTTCGCTCCAAAGAAATTAGTAGCAACTGTGCAAATAAGTCGCGTTGCATGCGAGCTTCTACAAGTTTTCCAGAAATAGCAACTTTTTTTTGTACTGCATCCACAAATGAGAATTGTATTTTTTGTATCGCCTTTTCAAATCTTTCTGCAACTTCAGAACATTCTTTAATAAATTGTTCACGTAGCTGATTTCCGCGGTTCTCTACATTAAGCAAAAATTGTTCAATGTTCGTTTGTACTGCTTGACCTGTTGAAATATTAAACAACAAACTTTTCTCTAAATCATTTGAGAAGGGATTGATATTTTGTCTCATATTGGTGATATTGGTTTCAAGCTGTAACGAATTTTTTTTTATTCGACTCTTTTCAAGATCAGCAGTAATGTCCTGAGACTTTTTTAATCCTGTTTGATCCATTATGTGACTAATAATAGTTGAACGAATGCTATGGCTCTTACACTAACGTTGACGAGCTGAAATTGAATTGGTAGTATGCATTATTCACGTCAATTTATTTGCAGCATCTGCATTTATGATTTGTTCTAGCGTTAGATCAATAGGCTGTCTCGAAAATGATTTGTCGGTTCTCTTAACTCCAAACGATCCCCTTTCGAGTTGCAACTGTAACCCTGGGTGAGTTTCGTGTACTTTCATCAATTTGTCGTGATATATCACGGTATACCGTGAATAATTTTGTTGATTAAAAGTAAAAAAGAGATTTGCAATTTTAGGTATTTGTGTTTAAAAGGAGACAGCGTAGTAGCAATGCTCCAATATTTTTAACTTTTACTGCGTCAGCTGACGGTCTTTCCACCGCTACCCACGCAGCTGATTGTTGTTTTCGTACTTTTGATAATTTAAACAATCAGTTAGTTAAATTTCATCCGGCGTACTATAACTTTATTTTACGTGTTTTTTTACAAGTTCAAGCGAGCGGCTGACGCATAATCCCCCCTCCTCTATGCAGCTGACGATTTTTTTTTAGCTCTGTATGATGTAAAATATTTATGAAAAGAATTTCAGCCGGCGTACTATGACTTATTTTTTATTTTTTTTTCACCACGTCCGGAACCACACACACCCGCACCCACCGCTACTTGAGCAGCTGACAGTTGGTTCACTTATTGGTCATATTAGATCAACCATCGATGACAATATCAGCCGGCTTACTATGACTTTTTCATTTGCAACGGTACCTCCCGGACTATATAGTCCGTAAAATATAGCTTGATACCGCTGACAGCTAGAAGCAAATCCGACGACACAAGTTTTGAACCGACGCGACGTCTTAATCACACTTTCGTTTCACAACACCGGCAATCTCGATTTTTCGCAATTAATAATACACTAAAAAAGGCTAAATATATTTTATTAACCAATACTACCTGGTTCTTGCCTAAAATAAAAAAAAGAAAACTTTTTTGTACACTTTAAAATTATTGATAAATATATGATTGCCGTAATCGCCTAATACGAGCTAGACCGGTACAAAAATCTAGAAATGAGATGAATCGATTAGCTTATATCTTATTATTATTATTATTATTATTATATGAAGATAAAATAATTAACAGTTTGATAATCGAGAACTAAATTGGTAGACTGTTGTTGCCATCGTGTTTTCATACAGCCATATGAGAGCATGTCAAACTTATCGGCTACCGTTCCTAAGGTTCCTTTTGCTCCTTCTACAAAAAAAATAACTTTTCTGACATTTGTGAGATCGAAAGTAGATCTTAACTGAATTTTTAACGATTTAATAAGTTATATCATATCGTCACTAGTCGTTGATTTGTGACATCTGTCAGTATCGGGGTAAATTTTACGAACTATTGACCTAAACTTAAATTCATCAATTGATGAACCCTCGTCATTTCGTTTTTGTCGGATTATGCACTTATTTTCGCAGTAAAATGATGTTTATTATCACATTTGTATACAAGTAATAATACTTCAAAGTAGTTGACATAACAAGAGACAATCCAATCGTCGTCAGTCACTAGACGCTGATTGGATTAGTGTATTAAAATACGTGCCGTTCGACGTATTTTCAAAATTATGTTGTCAAAAGTATAAATTTTAATAAAGTTTTACAATTTATATAATTAATTTATATTATAAAATCACTATATTAGAATAGAATTCTATCCATGTTTTTTGAAGAAGGAAAGAAAAGACTTTTATTAAAATAAATACTTATTTTTTAACAACACACACTCACTTGCAAGATTTACAAATAATATTTAGGAATAAAATCTCATGATGTTCTAAACTACTATTTTAAACCTACTTCAAAAAAGGAGGTTCTCAATTCGTCGCAATCTTTTTTTTATGTATGCTCACCGATTACTCGAAGACGCCTGAACTGATTTGGAATTATTTATTTTTGTTTAAAAGGGTTCACTTATTGAAATCAGTAGTGTTTTTGGAAAAATCAACAAAAATCTCAAAAATTGTATACATCGATGATATTTTTGTTTACTTACAAAACCTGGCTGTCTCATTAAAGCAGTGCGTTTAGTTATTCCGTCCATATTATATATAAACAATCTACATCTACTTGCCACTAAAAATGTAAATATAAAATTATTTTTAACCGACTTCAAAAATAGGAGTAGGTTCTCTCCCGGTGTCTAAATTTCGTCAGATATGAGATTATTCAATAGTTGCAATTCTGCTAATGGTCGTTCATCGTACTGTTTACTGAACAGTACAGAGGGTTCTAAATCAGATAGAGCTATTCCTTCTAAAGTTTTGACTCTGCCGAGAGTACTACGCTCCGTATACTTGTCCCTTCCCAAAGTCTATGACAGCTCTATCACGGGTTGTACTTTTTTTATGTCATAAGGGGGCAAACGAGCAGACGGGTCACCTGATGGTAAGCAACTACCCCGCCCATGGACACCTGCAACTCAAAAGTCACGAGTGCGTTGCCGCCCTTGGAGTCCCTTCCGCTCGAGTCAGCGGGAGGGGGATTTGGGCTCCGGTAACCACACTGACTCAGTGAAAGGCAACGAAATAATGCACAGTTAGCATGAAATAAGAGGTAACATAAGACGCTCAACGTCACCTCTAGTTGTCTAGTTGCTTGGAATATAGCACACTTTCCATCAGGTATCCCGGTTGCTCATTTGCCCCTTCTTCCATAAAAAAATGGAAACGAAGCCATTAGCATCTTTCAATCTGCAGCCTACTGTCTCGTTATCAAAACTTAATGAGAACGGTGTATGGCATTTCACCTTCTTCTAACAGATATCTGCGTAACGCAGAGATCGCACGCACGTCATTTAAACTCTTTTACAACACCCAACTACAACTACATAAATACGAAAAACTTTATTTCGTCAGTCATAAATATGAATTTCAAAATACCGATTTTCATAATACCGAATGGTTCAAAATTAATATAACAACTCCGATTGATCATTCAACTCACATATTTTATAATTCGAAAATTTCAATATTCCTAACGTTTATAATTATTATGGTCAAAATACTGAGTTCCAAAAGATCGAATAACAAAAAGTCCGAGTTAATGATAATTCAAAACATCAAACTTCCCAAAATGATACCCAAATGATTCACCAACAATAGAGGGATCCCCCGCTCACCGGCCCATGGTGCGGCCCGTGCTGCGGCCCGCCGGCTTCGCTCGCTCGCCTTCGCGCTTTAATAGTCAGAGTTGTAACCTAACCCAATTAATTCAATAACAGTAGATGGTACCCGACGCAGGTATATATAAGTAGAAGAAAACACAAAAAAAATTTAATACACAAATATTAATAACAAAGTAGACGTTTTTAAATTACATTAAACGTTACCCATATATTTTGAATATATATACGTAACTGAATGTCATATATAATAAGTAAGTGTCTAGCACATATAATATTTTATTTAAATAAATAGACAACGGGTTTAGAGAATGGTTACATTGTAATTGTGTAAATAGATCATTATAAATTGTAATTGAGTATTAAATAGTTTATCGTAAGTATAGTCATTAAGATCACTCTTTATATATAAGTGAGTGTTTATTTGATTTTGTACTGAAATTTTAATAAAAATTTGATTATAGGTTTAGGTAGAAAATCGTATGTAAATACCAATTATTTTTCCTGGGTGTTTTTTGAATGCGGTTTTTTTTAATTTAAAAATAATTTATAATAACTTCACAATAAAAACATTAAAAAAAAAATATTAGGTCTTTACCTATGAAATTGCCGTTTTGTATGCAATAAGTGAAAGTACTTATTTTTTCAAACTTTTTTATTTCTATTATTCGAAGTAATCACCCATGCAATCGACGCATCTTTGCCAACGCATTGGCAGTTTATTGATGCCCTTCTTGTAAAAATCAACTGGACGGGAGGCAACAAACTCTTCAAAGGCATTTTGTACTGCCTCTCGGGAATTGAATTTTTTACCAACTAAAAAGTTGTCTAAATTTTGGAAAAAGTAATAGTCGGTAGGTGCAAGGTCTGGTGAGTATGGCGGATGAGGGAGAGCTTCCAACCCCAGCTCTTGCAGCTTGGAGACTGTCTGTTGCGCAGTATGGGGTCGCGCGTTGTCGTGAAAGAGCAGTGGGGACGACCGATTGACCAAAGCTGGTTGCAGATGTGACCACCAGACCTTGCACCTACCGACTATTACTTTTTCCAAAATTTAGACAACTTTTTAGTAGGTAAAAAATTCAATTCCTGAGAGGCAGTACAAAATGCCTTTGAAGAGTTTGTTACCTTCCGTCCAGCTGATTTTTACAAGAAGGGCATCAATAAACTGCCAATGCGTTGGCAAAGATGCGTCGATTGCATGGGTGATTACTTCGAATAACAGAAATAAAAAAGTTTGAAAAAATTAGTACTTTCACTTATTGCATACAAAACGGCAATTTCATAGGTAAAGACCTATTATTACGTTACTGTAATACTAATTAAAGGAGTTCTAGAAATGCTTAGGTAAGTTTTTTAAAATTTAACGTTATATAAAATATCTAACAAATTAATAAATGTTGCCGTACGTGCACATTCTGGATATTAATCTTACTTACATTACACAACGAAATTATACTGCTACACTTAAGTGCTCGTAGTAATACTGATTCTATAACCAGTGGCATTTAACATTTTGTACAGATGGTAAAACTATAAAGTGAGTCAAGTTTAATCATTCGCTTCACTTCTACTAACCAAAAACTTTTACAGCCGTACAGCCACCGAAAGGATACAAGCAGATTCTCACAGAGGGCGGTCCCGAAGCATTCGCTAAAGCCGTAAGACAGCACAAAGGCTTACAACTCATGGACACCACATTCCGAGATGCCCATCAGTCTCTTCTAGCGACCAGAGTTAGAACATACGACTTGCTGGGCGTGAGTCCGTATGTCGCACACAACTTTAGCAATCTATATGCGTTGGAGAACTGGGGCGGAGCTACGTTTGATGTTGCATTGAGGTGAGAAAATTACGTGTTATAGTGGGCGATGGCTAAAGTGTAAGACTTACTCTCGATTGGTTTAAGGTTTAAAACTTACGTCTACCGATGTGATCCTACTCTTAGCACATATTTTGCTTACTTGGAAAGAAGAATTGTTTGGTTTAAGTTGCGAAAAGTCTTTTAAACACAAATATTATGTTTCTTCCTGCTTTTATAAGCATTATAACAATATAAGCTTAATTTAGAAGTTAAGTCTGTTTTTTTATGATACAATGACTTTTTTTACTATTCCGATGAAACAATTTTGAAGAAAAAAGAGCGCACAACATAAACTTATTGTAATTCTACAGGTTCCTTCACGAGTGTCCGTGGGAGCGTCTTCGCGACATGCGCGCCTTGATCCCGAACATTCCGTTCCAAATGTTGTTGCGAGGCGCCAACGCCGTCGGATACACCAATTATCCTGACAATGCTGTGTTCAAGTTCTGTGATATGGCTGTGAGTTTTATATCTAGCTCTCAATTTCAACTCTGTCTGTGTAAGCCTTGGTCTATCTTCTACTAGGCACATCTGTTAAACAGTCAACAGCCGAGGAAGAATATCTCATATTATCTATTCATTATCCACTTTAATTCTGAGGGCCTAGTGTGAGCTCACTGAACGCTTCACCAATCGCAACGTCGACCGCGGTTACCATGACGATCGAGTTGATGTGAAATAAACTCACACTAAGCTCTTATTTAGAAAGTGATCTACCTAAATCAGAATTAAAATTTATTACTATTCAAAATATCCGTGTAGTGACGGATTATGAATACAGAATGTCACCGCTCCTATTAGCAAGCAAAACTAAGCAAGACAACAGCTCCGCAAAGAGAAGATAAACCTGACACAAACCTTTTTTTTTTTAACGTGTGGTAATCCCCTCGGACCCTCACCCCGCCGGGGTTCTCCGTTCGGCGAGGCGGTGTGTCGGACTCGAACCGACTAAAACCACACGGTGTGCCCTCTTTGCGCTTCCAGTTTAGGGGGGGGGGGGGGGATCAAGGTAGTTATCGCCTTCTGGACCCCTCCCAGCGCCGGCCCGCTCCTGGTGCGGGCTCCGTCTCAAAGAACCTGACACAAACCTATACCAACCCGTCTGACCAGCGTGGCATAGTAGGCCAAAACCTCCTTTCTAAGGAGAGGCCTATGTCCAGCACACAGTCCATACTATGAAAGGCTGTTAATGATGAAAACTTTCATTGTTTAACTAACAAATGATACTTACTGTCATATTTCTCCCCAGGTAAAAGCGGGAATGGATATCTTCCGAGTCTTTGATTCCCTGAATTACCTTCCCAATCTAATTCTGGGTATGGAAGCTGCGGGCAAAGCTGGAGGTGTAGTTGAAGCAGCTATTTCCTACACAGGAGACGTATCTGATCCCAATAGGAAGAAATATGATCTCAAATACTACACCAACTTGGCTGACGAGCTGGTGAAAGCTGGGACACATGTTTTGTGTATTAAGGATATGGCTGGATTGTTAAAACCTCAAGCTGCTAAGTAAGTATATTATAGTAATTGATCGATTGACATAAACATGTTTCTAAAAAAGAATAAGAAAGGAGTTTTTCTACAAAGTAGTTTCAAAGTATCGCGTGATAATATTCACAAAAATAGACGAGAAAAAACGGATAATGTAATTATTAATGACAATTTCTAGGCACTATGGCACTTTCCTGACTGTGTGTGTGTATTCACAACATGAAAGAGTTACAAACCAACAAACTTCTTTCACTCATTTCCTTTATTTTTTTATGTAATACTAGTTACTAAGAGTAAATTAATCAATTGATCTCATATTCTAATCTTAAGTTCTTCTACAGGCTTTTAATTACTGCAATTCGTAACAAACACCCTGACGTACCAATCCATGTACACACCCACGACACTTCTGGTGCTGGAGTGGCCTCCATGTTGGCCTGCGCCGAGGCCGGAGCTGATGTTGTGGACGTGGCTGTCGACTCTATGTCGGGACTTACCTCGCAACCCAGTATGGGCGCTTTAGTAGCCTCGCTACAAGGAACTAAATTTGACACTAGTACGTATAAACAATCTACAAAATTTAACCCAAAATTCATTCCTAATTCACGGTAATGTGTAGGTTTTGTACGTGTGAAGAGTCCCTAGAGCCTGTTTTCAGTGGGGCAGTACTCTAATAATTACTTAATATACCTTAAAAATTTCACACATCGCACACAGAGAAGTCTGATCCCAAACTAGTCAGAGTCTGTGCTATAGTAACTTATATATTTCAAAATATATGCATATTATAACTAAACTACATCCAAGCAAAGAATGATAATCGTGCTCAACACCCAAATTCAATTCCCATGGTGGTACCATCACCATGGGAATTGAATTTGGGTTGAACCCACGACCTTCACCTTAGCAGTCAGGGGACTACGCCCATTAACGTTAATGAATAACTGCACCAATCTAAAGGACATGATAACTTAGACTAGATCAAAGAACATTTCACGCCTTTCCCAAGCTAAGCCTATAAATATTGCTACACAGAAATCTCTCTACAAAATATATCCGAGTACTCAGCGTACTGGGAGCAAGCGCGAACTCTGTACGGACCCTTCGAAGCCACAGCCACGATGAAGTCTGGCAACGCTGATGTGTACATCAACGAGATCCCTGGAGGACAGTACACCAATCTGCAGTTCCAAGCGTTCTCACTCGGACTTGGAAGCCAGTTCGAAGAAGTCAAGAAAGCTTACAGGTAAGAAATAGAACTGTTCTTCTGAACTTTCTGTTTCTGTGTACCACTGTTTTTTAGTTCTATAAATTATTTCCAAACACATCAAGACCCGTGCTACTCCGTAATTGATTACATAATAAGACTAAGTTGAACATAGAGGACGTAAAATTTCATTTATTTTTGTACATTTCACCCCACAGTACAGTACACACAACTGACCATGTCTAAAGATCAGGGTTCAGTTAATTCAAGGAAGTAAACTCGTACCCGCTCCATAGGTCCAACCCCTTATTAATTACCTATGCTCATGTATTACTATAAGACACCAAGTTTATCGTTATAGACTTCGAAACCATCAAACGTTTGTGCCCCAAACTGGCTTAAAATAAAATTAGAAAGGGAATAATGCGAAGATGGTTTAAGACCACTAAACAATGCATTAGGCACAATCGAGCCATCCATGAAGTCGATTTTCGACTTTTCGAATACAATTTTTTTATCGGACTTAGTAATTTTTTTTGGGTTGTAGCACACATTGAGTATCCGCTAGTATTATAATAAAACACTCACCGTCAAATAGTGATAAATACGACTGCCCCTTGTTCGATAACTGACCACTTTAGAGCAGAAGCTTGAATGCTCTTTTCCACGAGTGTTCTTAGATCAAATTCTGCTTGTCATTGAGATTATATTTTGCAAGCAAATGAAAAAGCTTAGTGTAGCCAAATATATTTAACTGTATTATTAAAAAACTTCCTTTTTAAGGAGAGGCCTGTATCCAGCAGTGGACTATTAAAGGCTGTTGATGTGAAGTGAATATTTAAAGATTTTGGATGTAAAATTTTATCACTACTAACGCAAAAATAACCTTTGGTCTATAATATTATGTAATATACTCGTATATTGTCTTTTTAAATACGTGTTCTATTTGTTTTCTAGGGAAGCTAACCTTATCTTAGGCGACATAATCAAGGTGACTCCATCATCCAAGGTAGTGGGAGACCTGGCTCAATTCATGGTACAGAACAAGTTGTCAGCGAAAGATATCGAAGCTCGTGCTGAAGATCTGTCCTTCCCCAAATCGGTGGTGGAGTACCTGCAGGGCGCCATTGGTATTCCTCACGGAGGATTCCCAGAACCGCTGAGGTATTTAAAGTGTTAATTACAAACTGATCAGATTTCCCAAAATAAGATTTCTATTATATTTTCCCAAAAGTTATTTCAGTTTATTTTTTATTTCTTAATATTTATAAATGTATTTTCACTTAATTTGAAATGTTATTTAGGACTCGTTCATTGACACGTAGTCCTGTAATAATTTAATTAAATTTGTTATAAATTGTTTGTTATTTTTACGTATTAATATAATTTTAGGTTTTTCGTCTCGGCCGAACAGAATTTCGTTTTAATGTATATTTATTTAAAAGCAATATTTATACTAGTATCTGGCATGTAAATATGATTGACGAAGTTTTTGGCTTTTACATTTCCTTAACTATGTTAAACGTATGTCTTTACACACATACGATAGTCGTATAGAACAAGTTTGATGAAAAAAAATTGCTATTTGCACTTGTAGAAATAACACACATAATCGCCTACATCTTGCAGGTCTAAGGTGCTGAAGGACATGCCAAGGATCGAGGATAGGGCTGGCAAAAGTCTGCCTCCGTTGGACTTTGAGAAGATGAAAAAGGATTTATCTGAAACGTATCCTGAGGTATGTCTTGGTGTTTATTTTTCTTCTGTATAATTTATTTGACAACAACTAATTTTCCAAATAATGAAAAAAAATCAATAAAAACAATTTTAATAATCATTTTCTATGTGTTCAGGTGACAGACGAAGACGTGATGTCGGCAGCGATGTACCCTCAGGTAGCGAACGACTTCTTCCGTATTCGCCACAAGTACGGACCTGTCAAACACTTCGACACTAAGACATTCTTAGTTGGACCTACTGTAAGTATTTAAAAAGACCTAAGAGTATTGTGATTTATCAATGGTAGAGCTTATGTTTCGGTACAAAGGCGCCGGCTCGAAACACAAGCCTCACAGAAAACCGGCGATGCTTTTCACTTTTTTTTACCATGTTAGTGAGATTATCAGAGGCCCTATCCTCTCTCCCTTTCTTATTATGAGGAGAGGTCACTCTAGGGTGACAACGCACATAAGAGATGCAAGTGCCCATGGGCGGTGGTAGTCGCTTACCATCAGATGACCCGTCTGCTCGTTTGCCCTCTTATGGCGTAAAAAAGTTAATTTTTATATAATAACTAGCTTTTGCCCAGGGCTCCGTCCACGTGTATGCCGGTTATCACGGTAAATAGCAGCCTATGTCCTTCCTCAAGAATCAAACTATCTCCACAACAAATTTTATCTAAATAGGTTCAGCGGTTATTAATTCACCATACAAACTTCAACACCTCTTTTCACCTCCTTAAAGGCTGATTTTTGGAATAGAAACTATCCTTTGTCCTTACCCGGAACTCAAACTATCTCTGTACCAAATTTCATCTAAATCGGTTTAGCGATTTAAGCGTGAAGAGGAGACAGACAGACACACTTTCGCATTTATAATATTAGTATGGATGTAAGAGCTCTATCTCTTCTCCCCCGATTCTTCAACGCAGAGCAGAGTTACTCGTATTTATCTTTAACATGTTGCGATCTGTAGATCGGTGGCACGATCGATGTCAACATCGCGCGCGGGAAGACATTGCACATCAAGACAGTAGCTGTCTCCGAGGAGATGACAGCGGCAGGAGAACGGGAGGTGTTCTTCGAACTCAACGGACAGCTGCGATCTGTCTTCATTAGAGATGTGAATGCTAGCAAGGTAACATTTAGACCTCGTAGTCCTCGTTTAGAGCTTAAAGTACACATATAATGTCATTACTATTATGTTTTCTTTTCAGGAAATGAAAATTCACCCTAAGGCTATAAAAGGCGATAAGAATCAGGTTGGAGCACCCATGCCTGGAACTGTACTCAGTAAGTGAATTGTTATGTATATAGTGTAAAATGTCATGTTATCGTCCTCTAAATACGCTATTAATCTATGTACCAATAAATAGGCCTATAACATATAATTTAATTATTTAAATAATTTTATTGCCCTTTTGTTTGAGCAACGTCACATCGAACATGCGAGCTTATTTTCCCTCCAAAAGCTAGGTAGGAGCCAGTACTCGATTATTCATTAGTTTTAAAGCTTGTTTTATTTCATTATTCCATTTTTAGTATCAACCCATTTTCTGTTTACGTTGTACTGTCATTGTAAATACTTTGCGTACAATGATAAGTCTTTACGTATTTATTAATTTATTACAAATTAATAAAAAACTTTTGGAACGAAGTTCCTTATAGCGCTTTACACGCTCTGAGCGGATGGGAGCGAGACCGAAAAATGTGTAACAAGACTTTTCCCGACACTTCTTGTTCTGTTCACAAACCAATTATTACTATGATTGAAAATAATGATTAAATCTATTGTAACTTTTATTTATATTTTTATAGTAGATAAATAATTAGTTTATTTTTAAAATCAAAAAATTATTAATAATAAAATTAAATTATAGAGTTCCTAAATTTTTATTTGTTATGAACTTAAAACTTGATATTATATAAGATAAATTATAACGACTGTATGCCAAACGTCTGCTAAAAAGCGAAAGGAACGTCTATAGACCCGTTTTTTTTTTGTCTTTAATTCACATTTCTCGTATTTGAACTTTAAAGAATTGCTAACATTTTTCCATACTCGGCACTTGTTTAAAAAAAGACCACAAAGAAATATCTTTACGTATTGATATTCGCTATGCTGACTAGACTGTCGACCTGGCTACAGAATTCATTCTACTCATTTTGCGAGATTAGAAGCATATGCAATAAGAAGTACTACTACAATCAGACATATTTTTTGCAGCAATCAAAGTTAAAGAAGGCGACAAAGTAGACAAAGGACAACCAATCGCCGTGCTCTCAGCCATGAAAATGGAGATGATAGTGCAAGCGCCGAGGGCAGGAATCGTCGACACTATCGCCATCACGAATGGCCAGAAACTTGAAGGGGACGATCTAATCTGCACCCTCAAATAAACTTAAGGTCGTTACTTTACTACTTTGTTTATACTAATAAGCCGTAAGTGACGTCACAGTATACACATGGTGTAAAATTATTAAGTCCTATCTTTATGTACTACAGAGGTTATAATTTTAAATACTTACTTGATTATCTGATTTCCAAATTCCTTACGTTCAAGTATACTGTGAATTATTCAACGCATGAGACCTATTCGTTAGAAAAATAGACTTATTTAGTGGAATTAAAATATACTAAAAAAAAAAACTTTTATACCTTAAGTTAAAATGTTGTTTATTATTGTTTGTTCTTTAAAAGACATTTTATAAATGTATGATATCAGTCAATGAATTTGTAAATTATGTGATAATTAACACTATCTAATAGTGTCATTTTACCAGAGATGTGAATTATTTACAATACATATAGGTATTTGAAATGCAAATGCATAAAATATATTATTTGAAATACTTAATATTAAGTACTAAATATTTAGTATATGTAAAATGCAAAATAGTAGTATTTTTCATGCTTAAATTCAAAATACATAGGTACTTTATAAAATAACAATGCCAACATCTTCATTACATCTTTACATAGTAGAAAATGAAGTCACTTTTTTTCTTTACATCTTTCTTCTTTAGATTTTCACCACAAGAGAGAGTGATTCAAGGGGAAGTTTTATAAATATAATACGTACATATTATAGTAGAGGAAATCCGAGAATTTCAAAGATTTGTAATATGAAGTCGTAAATACAAGGTTTAGCCAGCGTTGCCAATGTAAGCTGGCTAAACCTTACGAGATAGATCAAAATGATGTACTACGGAATTGTATATCTTAAAAAGATCTACAAAAAAGTCCTAATGATATATGTCTATCTCCTAAGGATAACCCACCGTAACCATTTTTAGAAACACTACAATATTTAAAAGATAAAGACAAGACCTGGAACAGATATCCAAATGTAAAAAACTCTTCCTTAAATATAATGGTGCTAATTCTGTTACTCGAAAACTCTCTAGACTAAACTAAAAATCACAATAAAATTGTTTAATCCTGTCAAACAACGTTCCGTATTCTGAAAATGTAGTACTTGACAGGAAAAAACTAATTTTTAGTGATTTTTAGTTTAGTTTAGACAGTTTTGGAACAACAGAATTAGCACTAAAACCTGCTCACCAAGTTCTGTGCCTGTTAAACTATTTTCGTTTGGTAGAATAATTATGATTCCCCATAGACGGAACATGAAAGTTGAACTCTTTGAAAAAATACTACTGTTAAAATCAGTGAAATAAGGTATTTTATTTAGAAAAGGTATTTTGAAAATACATATTTTGCATTTTATTTTAAATACTTTTATTTATGCACATTTTGTATTTTTATTTAAAATAATAAAATAACCAAGCATTTGCATTTTGAATTTTTATACTTTTCCTAAACTATTTTTTCACATCTCTGCATTTTACTAGTGACTTATACCGGATCACAGTACAAAAGTGATAGAAATTATATTAAGCATAATATAGTAAAAAAACCTTTAACTCTTAAATGTGTGATGGAGTGATATTGAATTGTAACCAGGGTTTAGTGTAAGAGCCTCTCAGACTAACAAAGCACCTTTTGAAATTACCCTGTGTAATTTACTTAAAAGTTACTTAAAAGTTGTTTTATTAATGTATACTCGGTACTTGTACTCTCTAGTCCTTGCAATTATTTGCAATATTACTCTATCTGTCTATATTTCTCATTCCGATTCAAGCAGTTTTCCCAATTTCTCATAACCTATAGGCGGGTATCCATCCCGAGTTTCTCAACTTATAATGTTCTACGAGTATTTAGCAACTTTATCAATAAAATAATTTAGTCTGCGCGGCAAGTGAAAGGCATCGAGTGGTCACAATATTTTCTGACCTATGTGACATGTGTGTATAAAAACTATAGCTATTGATAAATAGTTGAATCACATTAGATACACGTTTTATTTACGTGAGTCATAAAGTTTAATTTATTGTTTTTATACTTGATTTTCACAAATTAAATGTCTGAACAGTTGCTTAGTTGTTATTCATTTCTTGTTATTTGGATTCTCAGCACCACTGTTTTTTTTTAAATAAAATATTTTTTATCTTGTATGCTTTATTTTATCCTCATGTCTGTCTTGTGTTTAAACGGATCTGTATGTCCGGCTTTAGCAAATATCGTAGTTGTTGTAGTGAAACTATATATCGCTGTTTAGAGCCGATAAACTAGAACTACATTGCACATACTTACTGATAGATTTTTTTGTTCTTGGAAATTTTTCGATCTAGCTGTTAGATTATACCCACCTTAAAATTGATCTATAGAGAAAATGTGCGAAAAATTGTTTGTCAAATATAAGCGTGGCCGACCTGGGCATATTCTTGCAAGGCCGGTCACCTAGAAACGCTTATAACTTTTAACACTTATTTCTTACAATACTTTCAATACTCTGAGAGGCATGAGTGAGAAAATCAGTGTTGAACTCCTGTCGCTAGCTGCCAGTCTAATAAAGTTATTCATCAGATTTTAGCTTTATTCTTCACTAGCTGACCCGCGCAGCTTCGTCTGCGTCTCTCAATAGTAACAATTTTTTTCCGTTTTTGAAACATATTTCATTGGTGCTCCGCTCCTATTGGTCTTAGCGTGATGATATATAGCCTATAGCCGAATTTTTCAAATTGGACCAGTAGTTCCTGAGATTAGCGCGTTCAAACAAACAAACTCTTCAGCTTTATAATATTAAGTATAGATAGCAGCTATCTGACCATTGAAAACTCCAAAATTACGCTAACTGTGGAATAAATGCTGTCTAAATGTTTATCTGAGGATTGAAAACCCGGCCCATGCGTCCTAACACTTTGAATAAGACTTGTAAGATTTAATTTAAACGTTATTTTATAGCTTGAACTGCCTTAAAATGTATGTGAAGTTTCATTAGTATCCTTTTTTTCTGTACGAAACCCCTCTGATACCACCCAGCAGTGGGTGATTATGTCGGACTCAAACCAACCAAAAACCGCACCAGGTACCAGGAGCCGGGGAACCAGGCATACCCTAGAAAGGAAAGCCCTGGTACCCTTCTGACTTCTCCTGTGTGGGAACCCGGATGTTGTAAGTAATTAATAAATTATGATGAAATGTAGCTTGTAACCTCTGAACGTGTCAGGCGGTCTACTCACCGGCTTACCAGCGGAGATATACACGAGGATTACCTCAATAAATCAATAAATGCGACGCGGGGCGACAGGTGTCACTGTTGACAACTCCGTACGCAATACAAATATAATGGATAAATAACTGTTACAAGCTACATACTTACGTTCACGGTCACAGCGAATTTTTTTGGCTACCGATAAACCAGTGTGTGGATATATAAAATCGTTTATTATTTTAGGTACCACGCTGAAATTTTACAGGTATAAAACTGAACTCAGCAAGTAATAGATATAACATTTAGTTTACGTTCCAAGACGCAATAGGCACTAAACAAATGTGAGCCACAGGACCATGACTGTAATTCGTACTTAAAACTTAGAAAGTCATAAATCATAATCGTATATTATTGATATAAAGACAACGTATCTAGTCGGTCTTTAATTTTAGAACTTATAAGGTCAAGATAAGTTTTCTTTTCCACTTTCCTGTCTCTTTGATGTGTTGGTATAACGAAAACTATAAATAAGGATAATTCAAACACAAAAATACAATACATTACTTTTTTTCGTTTATTTATTAACAACCTGAAATTCTGTTAGTAGGTAATAGGTATTTACAGTTTTAACGTTACATAAAAAATCTGAATCTCTACTCTAAAATATTTTACGATTGTAAACGATGGATGACCAAAATGCACAATTGTATTACAATAAAATAAATTATAAAAAAAAAATGGATCCCTTAAAATCTATTTTATGCTTTTGGTTGTCAGCAACAAATTGGATGCTATGATAATTAGGAACAGCTAATCATAGTCGCATAATTTTACAACAATTCTGTAGTTTACATTCATGAACAGACAAAATGAATTAACTTCTAATGCGAAATTATTTGGTGCATAAACTGTTTTGGTCTAGCTATATGTAGTAAGTTACATTTGTGGTATAGTTGGCAAGAAATGTATTGCTCGATTGTATACAAAAACAATTACGAAGAAACTCCTGCCTCCAGAAAGAAATATGTTTGCTTTGATTAATAAATACAAAATACAATTGGTAATGAAGAAAAAGTAAACCTTAATTATACTAAGAGATTTAACGAACGAATGGCCACACATTAGGACGAAGTCTCTTACAATCCTTCCTTATTAATTATGGGATTCGTTTTATGTGAGGTGCTTAATTAACCCAATTCATATTGTTTCATACAGTTAATAATCGACTCGGAATTGATTTTCCCTTACTTTTGGGAAACTAAATTAGATATGCGGATCACACAATATGATATGTATGACTAATTTATTTTCACAATTCTGTTATTTCCCTTAACCAGCTGGACCATGAGATTCCAACACAGATAGGTAGGTACAACTTAGCTTCTTATATGGGGAAATATAATTAAATGATTGTGATGTCTATGTATCAATAAAGATAAAGATATTTTCATCGAAAGCCAGAATTGGCCCCTAAACAATACCTTAGACCTTAATAGAAATCATATATGTAACAGATTACAACAAAACACGATATATTAAAGCCATTTAGATCTAAAGAAAAGAGGAATGAGCAAAAGATATGTTTACATTATATTATTTTCTAAGTAAATTGAGGGACATACATATATTTCGTCAAACGTGGGAGAGGGATGGGGGGTCGTCTGAGATTGTTTGAGGACAGAAGAGGCCATATGAAATTATGAAATGAAAAATGTCTGTATGTAATATACGTGGCCCGTGAGATCATAACATATTTAAACAATATGAAATGAAGTGTTTTTAAATAAGTATTTGTGTGTTGTACGTTTATTTTACACCTACGAACAAATCTTATCAAAACGC